AAGAGAATTAATTATCTTCAGAGACAGCAATTAATCCCCACTAAATTTTTGGCCTATGGGATTTTTGCACCAAATCAAAGGGAATTGGAACCAGAGAAATGAATTTTTAGAACATGATTGTGATCTAATGCCAGTAGCTGAATAATCTAGTTACATAAGTATAGCCTTTTAACATTTATTAGACTTAAATAAAATGAAGTGAATTAAGCTAAAAAATATATATATTTTTTAGTGTGGGGATTGAACTTAATAAACATTAAAAAACTAAAAATCCAATCACAAATCTAAGCTTTATTATTATTCTTCTTCTTTTATGGGTTACATCAATCTAGGGTACACAAATGTAAGCTTTTTAACACTTATTTCTTAGGTTATGTTCTAACCTTTACTATTTGCAAATACATTATTCTAAGATATTTCATGGGTAAACTTTTCAACTCTTAACTTGTGAACGAAACATCTATAACATGACTTACTTTTTCACTCAAAATCATTTAGAATTGAGATTGAAAATGGTTTCTTTTCGAAGTGGAGGATGATTGTAAATTGGAAATATCGAGGAAGTGCTCTAATATTTTGGTAAGATTTTCCTAAAACTCTAAAAATTTGACAACACCGAGTGTTAAGTTAATAGTAGTGTTCATCCTTTGCTTAGGAGCCCTAGCTAGAAATAATATTTTCTACAGAATTGGTCTCTCTGCACAGGCAATAAAGTCTACTTTTGAAATTTATTATTTATTTATTTGATCAATTCTTAAGAGGACACTCATTGTGACAAGACCTTTATACTTTTTCTGCTTTTCAAATGTCATGTTCCTGAATCCATCATACACAACTAACTAATGTTCCAAATCATTGATAAGTTTAACAATTTTAATTTATTTAGCAAAATACATCACTCTTAACTTCTTCTTCTTATTTTTGACCTTTTCAAGCTCATACCTTTCTCCAAAACTGTTGTATTATAGGTTTTTGTACCCAAGTGTTTTGTTATTGTTGGTGGGTGGGTGTAATTTAACACATACTAATTTATGAATGGAATCAATATATAGCAACATAAATCTAATTTTTTTTTCAAAGAGAAGTGCAGCACAAGCATTTTCTTAATGTCAACAAGCACGCTTGACTACAAAGTTCATATGCTATATTAATGTTAAATATGATGGCACCCAACATAAATCTATCTGTTAAAAGAGCTATTTCTTTTCAATAATCATCTAATATGTTTAGCATCTAAAATGGGGCATGCATATAAGTATGTGGATGTAAAATTAAATGTTATTTTAATCAAATAAAATTTTCTTTATTCTAAAAAAAATTAAATGTTTCTTTAGTAATAATTGTCAAATTGTGAAGAATAAAATTGTTGCATTCCCTTTTTCATGAGTTATCCATCTTTGCATATGGAATACTTACACACAGGATTGAACTCACAATCTCTTAATTAGAGATACATGTCCATCATCTTAATTAGAGATACAGGCTTATCATCGCTGAACTATACTCACTTTGACTTTTACTTTAAGAACTATATCAGAGAGATTAAATTTTTTTTTAGACAAATTAGGGAGATTAATTTATACATATAAAAGTAACCTCAACATTTTATTTTGCTTTTACCAGATCAAAATGAAATATTTTATTTCTATTTTTGCTGGTCATTGAAACTATAGTCGTTCCATATTTCACTATAAATTGATCAATACTAAATCACTTCATAATTTAAGCTAATTTATATTAAATTTTTTGTAGTTCAATAATTATGGGCGGTGTGTAATTCAACCTTATTGAAAATTTGTTTTAATTAATGTTTTATCTATTGAGCTATGACTTTTTCCCTCATGTGTTAGACTCCTTTATTAAACAAATTTATAACGTTCAGTACATTTTTTTTTAATTTAACAATATCTAGAATCATTTGGTTGAATATATATACCTTAATCATTTGAGCTATATGTTAAAATTGGTCAAAACCGAGTAGATTGTTAATGGATAAAAATCAAAAAATTTTAGTGTTAAACAGATTTAGACTTTGCTATACTATTATAACAGTTAAAGATGGGCAAAGAAAGGAACATAATTTAGTGGTTAAGTCATTTATATTTCTTCAAAATTGTTATCCCAAGGGATTGCATAGCGCAGTGGATTAGTGGATCAAAAGGTTGTGGGTTCAACTCCCATTGTGGTCAAACAAAAACATTTCTTTCCATTTTTTCCTCCATTCGAACTTCCACACTTTGTATTTGCGATGTAATATTCTAAAGAAAAATTTACTAAAATTCAGCTTGCAGGTCCAGAAAGAACAGCGTCGCCTCTACGAGCAATTGCTGCAACAAGGATGATAATCAGCCTTCAGTTTTAGGTAGTGTTTCTTAGCCCCTTCATATATATACGTTGACAACTTTACAAAAATGTGCCAATTTTTAGAGCCAGCATTGAAGACCTTTGGAAGTTGATCATATTTTCCTCTGAAATATCGGTGCATCTGAAATCACAAACAACTTTGCATAAAATAGTAAATTTAATGGATCAAACTTTTAATCTTCCAACTTCTCTTAGAAAATGCATTAATTTACTACATTTTCCAACACTTCCACCACATGTATCCACTTAGATATTATTTTGAGCCACTAGATTAGTACAAAGATACACAATTCATATACCATGTCAAATTACTGCTAAATCTGAAAGCTTTTCATAATCGCTAAATAATTAGGATTAAATCAATAACTTAAAGTTTTAGTCATTAGGCAAAATAAATAAATCACTCAAGCATATTTGCATCTTGGAATGTTGGGATGTTGGGAAATTCTAAAGACTCACCAACTAAGACAGAATTATTGTAGTTAAGTAAGCAAATACTAACCTCAGAGTTCCAGCTGCCAAATTCGTATAGAGGATAAGGAAATTTTTAAGTACTTTCTTTGTTGATAAAGATGGAGAAGATAAACCAAGTTGTTGATAAAGACACTGAAAGTGAGGCCAAACATTTGTTGATAAAAACTGGGATCGCATTTCCATTGACATGACAACAACACAAGCTTTGTAGTACTTGATATAAAGTCAGTTCCACTACAATCCCAATCACCAATAATAAACATATAATTTGACCCTCAAATGATGAAGCTAAACTTTCTAGATGGTGAAGTTATGTGTGTGTATATGTTTCTAAAAACTTATATGCGTTCTGTATAATCTATATATGCTTGAGAAATATACTTGTTTTTTTTACTCTAAACTACAAAAATTCAAATTCTACTTTCTATGCTATAGGTGTTCTCTCTTTTACAAAATCATAACTTATAGCCAAGCTTCTCTTAACTCATTCCTCTGTGAGCCAAACATTCTCTTAAAGATTTAGTTTTGGTCTCACTAAATTCTGTTGCCTATGATTAATTTAGTGGATATATATGTGTTTAGAAGATAATGGAGGTACTTTTAATGTTAAACACAATCCATCATTCATACTTTGAAATTTTGTGTCATTTTAGTGTTTAGGAGAATTGACATCATGCACAACTTGGAAGTGGATTTTGGTAATTGCTCTCTCTTGAGTCTATTTCCATCACTTCCTAAAAGGTGTGGGATAAATCTCTCATTACTGGGATTCAGAGTAATCCACAGACTAGAAAATAAAATCATGCACAGTTTTGATGAAAATATAAAAAAGCATGATCCTTTTGGGAAAAAAGGAAAATGTGGATAAGGAAAGGAAGCAAGAAGTACTAAATAATGGGTTTCAAATGCATAATCATTTAGGTGGAAAATAAGATGGATATCACAAAATTATATTCATTTTGGGCTTTGAATAACTAGCTTTCTTCTCGTCGAGGATCCCACGTTGAAAAGAGATCACTTAACAAACGTAGGTTTATATAATAGAGTATATAAACCCATCTAAAAAAGGGTTTATATAATAGAGTACATTAAGAATTTCATAAATATTGATATATTTTTCTCACCTGCATGTGAGAGACTCTAGATACAAATACACAAGCAATACACATTAGAAGTAGATGAAATCCCAATCCTGATAATCATTTGAATTTGATATCTTGTTTTTGAAATTAAGCTTATTTTGAATCTTCATATTCTTGGATATATCCAACTTGTCAACAAAGGGGTCTTAAGAGAAATATATAGAGAAGCTAAGAAGATGAAAGAGAAATATATAGAAGAAAATTTTGCACAATTTGTGTCAAATAGAAAGTCATGCAAATATATATTGAGAAATATTTCTATGTTTTACATTAATTTCGATCATCAAGTGAAAGAACAATAATACACATGAAGTGCTAGAGTATTAATATAATGTTTTTCCACTTGATACCTCCCAGCTGGTTCCTTTGGGAACATTAAGGAACAAAACCCATGTTGGATTTGTTTGTAACATGCCTGACCAAATAATCATCCAAAGAATTGAGAGTCTCCAAGTTCCTGCTCCTGAAAAAGAGAAAAAAAGAACAAAAATTTGAGTACAATTAGTAAGCAACTGTTTGATTAAGATTTGAGGAAACTAAATTCACCTGAACTTGGAGATCAAGAGTTGAAGTTTGGTGCAGAAAATTGAAAGTGGAATCAGAAGGGCTCCAGTTTCCCATAATCTCCAAAGAATTTTGATAATCAGATCCGAATTGGGAGCTCATTGGTTGATGATGATCTTCAACTTCCATGGCAGGTGGGTTGAAATTGTAGCTGATCTGAGTGGTAGCACCTGATTCCTCCCCAGTTTCAAAGCAAGAAGATGTATTAATTTTGGGATCATGATGATCAAAATCAGAAATTACTGAATAATCCCGGCTAATCTGCAATATCTGATTCTTCTCAATAGTCCTTGCCCTTGCCCTTTCCCTAGCCTTCTTCCTCATCTCCTTGGCCATGGGTTTCCTGATTATTGGCTTTTTAATCCTCGTCTTTTTCATCTCTTTCCCACCAGATTTCATCTTTTTAACCACTAATTTCTTCTCATTTTCATGCTCATGCTCGTCAATTTCAGAAGTGGAGGAGCAAACACTTTTGGCTCGGTCAAGGCTGAGGCCAAGGCTGTAATTTCTTTCCTTAGCAAGTTTTAAGATTTCTGGTCTGGCCTGTACCAGCAGCCATTCC